TATTCCACTTTCCTGTGCAGGATTCTTGGTGTTTCCAACTCAGTGTCGCTCCTTGCTCTTTATAAGGAGCTGGGTCTTCACTTGGTTGAATCTCGAGCGTGGATCATTACGATTAAATATTGGCTTCGGCTTCATTTTCGATCTCCCTCTGCTAGCCTAATGGCCCAACTTCTAGCTGACTCGTACACATCAGAGTGGTCACAGGCCGTAGTGAAGAAGGTGGGTACACTAGGTATCGACCTGGAACCCCTCTGCAACTGTGGTGAGACAGCAATTTTACAGGTGGTTAGGAGGAGAATTTGGGATATAGAGGTGCAGACCATTAGTGCCAGTTGTCTTGGAGTTTGTTCTCCCTATTCATTACCCCTCCTTCCCTCGCATACCTCCATGCTACCGTATATCGGTAACCTGATAAACCCAGTTTTTAGGAGGGTCTTTATGCTTGCAAGATTCAACCTTTTCCCTTCAGTTGTGGTTTCAGGTAGATACAGGGGTGTTCCATACAGGGATAGACTTTGTAACTGTAACCTTGGGGAACCTGACTTTGTTACCCATATCCTTCTCCGCTGCCCTAAATACTCCGTTATGCGCAATATCTTGATTCACCCTTTTCTCCCTTCGCAGAGAGATTTTCTGAACAGGGACTTAATTTTTTTCTTAGCACACAAGAGCCCAGCAATAACACTATCTGTCGCTGAATTTTTGACCTACGCATGGAAGTCAAGAGTAATACTCTGTAATTCCTGTAAATCATGTTAATTGTTTATTTTGCTTCTTGAAGCCTCTGGTATCCAGGTCAAGAGTGGTCTTGGAGGTCTCTATGTTGTAGTTAAGAGTTGAGGCCACCTTCTTAAGAAGTCTCTGAAAGTGCTCTGGCTGGAAAAGTCTGGTAGAGCTTTCTTTTGTGTCAGATTCCTCCCCAGACCATTCACCTTCCTCTCTGTCTGAGACAGTGATTGTCACATAACTGAGGGATGAGGCCCCTTCCCCCCTCTGAATTATATCTACTAGTCAGCCTCCTTGCTTTCTAGCTGTTGTCTCTTAGGGGGAGGTGAAGACTGAGACCCATCATTATCTGGTTTCTTTTTACCAAAGGACCTCTCCCCCCCCCCAAACTGACCCCTCTGCTGCACTTCTGACTCTGCAGGTATAGCCTGTGGGAACCAGGCTGCCTTCCAGTCTGAAGGGGACTGACCAAACATAGTGTGGGGAAAAGGCATGGCCCCCATACTTGCACTGGTCGTGGCAGCAGGTCCCGCCATGGTGGAAAAGGCTGGGATGAAAGGCACCCCATAATAGGCTGTTCCGCTGAGCCTGGGGTCTTGAACCAGTGGGGAAGGATTAAAGGTGCTTGGTGGGGCCACAGGAAACTCACCGACAGTTGCTGCCATGGAACCTTCAGCCACACTCTTAACAGCTTGCCTCTCCTCCCCCTCCCTTTCTGGCTGCCCGGAGGCCTCCGGGGCCGATAGGGATGTTGGTGGCACTGATCTGCTTAAGCTTAGGTGATTCCCCGAGGCCTCTGGGGCACCTGCCTGCTCTTCACCTCATCCTGACACCGAAACAGCATCATGCAGCCCTTTCCCTTTGCCTGAGACCTTAGGTGACCATGGCTTGCCTTGATGAGGGACGCTTTTCCCTGAGGGTCCTGCAACCAGAGCCCTTTTTGAAGACTTCGAGTCTATCTTTAACTTCTCCTTTTTATTTATTTATTCATTTATTTTGTGACTGAAGTAGAGACTGGAGCTAGGCTCTGACGACCCTCCTGAAGCGGCAGGGCTATCGAACTGGAGGGACACCCACACTCTGTCCTACTGGGCATGCTCAAAAGCATAGCCCTGCCCGGAGCGAGAGGAGGCATGGCCTAACCAGTGTGGATGCCTTCCCCCACTGAAGGAGAATGAACTATAGAAACTTTTAATGGATTTGGAGACATCATAACATTTATTTATATTTACATGCATTTCTCATAGACAAATTATGTTGACCTTACATGTAATCAATATATAAACGGATAGTGTAAGAAGTAACATAGCAGATAGTATAAAGATGTAAAGAGTCTCCCCCCCCCAATTTGTACGTTTTGTGTGTTTGTTTGTTCTTTGTATGTTTGTTTGAATTATAAAAAATAAAGTAAAATTTATACAGCCAGAAACCATTGCTGTCCTCATCCAAAGGCCTGGCGGAATGTCTCTGCCTTACAGGCCCTGCAGAACTGCATAAGGTCCAACAGGGCCCTGATGGTATTTGGCAGAGAGTCCCACCAGGTTGGGACCAGGAGCAAAAAGGCCGTGGCCCTGGTCGAGGACAGCTGGATAGCTTTAGGGCCAGGGGCCACCAGCAAGTTGGGCCCACTATTTCCACCCATAGCATTTCTGTAAGTGAATCTATTTCTCTTACATTCTCAGTCTTACTGGACTGTATAGCCTCTCTGACATACAGAGCCACTCTGCCTCCGACCCTTCCCTCCCTGTCTTTCCAATATAATTTATATCCAGTGATCACTGTATCCCACTGATTTTCCTTATCCCATCAAGTTTCTGAAATGCCCATAATGTCCATGTCCTCCTCTGACACAAAGCATTCCAGCTCCCCCATTTTAGCTCCCATCTTTACTCGGTGGTTTTAGAATAGGTTGGATAAATTAGGCTTGAGTGAATCATTGAAGGGCATCCAGTGGCTCCCCACTCAATACAAAGTCTACTGGTCTTTGTGTCATAGTGGTATAGCTGCAACACTGACTTTTTTCCCTGTGAAGAAGTAGGGAAGTCAAAATAGACATGTAGAAATTTGGCTTCATGAAGCAGTCTTTCTAAATATCTTCTCAAGTAAATGCAGCAAGGGACAATTTTTTTAAAATGGAGGAGTGGTGCCAGTAATTATTTTACAAGCGAAACCACTCGCAACCCTATTCTAAACTGGGGAGAAACAAATAATTATAAAACATTGTCTTGACATTGTAATGAGCATATTGTTTCAAGTATCAACAAGGTAAAGAAGTAAAATGGCAGAAGAGAAGCTAGGTTAAACAACAGAATTAGCATAACATTAGGTTGTGAAGAGATTATGTCCAAACTTCACATGCATTCCATGTGTCCCTGGAAACTGCATTGGTCTAAAACATGGCAGCTCAGTTGCTGATTGGGACTAGCCACTGGAGTGCTATTACATCAGTATGAGGAGAATTTCATTGGTTGACTGTTAGTTTCTAGGTGTAGTTCATCTCACTTTTAGAGCTCTGAATGGTGACCTCAAAAAGTGTCTTCTCTCATATGCGGTGTCCCCCCCCCCATTTCTTAGAGCAATGTTTAGATGGCTCAGCGGTAGAATATCTGCTTGGCATGTGGAGGGTCCCAGGTTAAATCCCTGGCATCTCTAGTCAAGGATCAAGTCATAGGTGATGTGAAAGACCTTGACCTGAGTTCCTAGACTAGAGAGCTGCTGCTAGTCTGAGTAGACAGCACTGATTTTGATAAAGCAATACTCTGATTCAGTATCAGGCAGTTTTATGCATCCTCTTATGAGACACTTCTAGCACCATGGCCATCAGAAGCTAGGCTGTTGACTACAAATGACTGGATGCATTTTCAGTGGCAGAACTAGTTATTTTGAAGCCATTCCCTGAGGGGTATTACCAAAGCTTCTTTGTTGCTGGTGTTCAGCCATGTGATTAGAGCATATTTGTTTGTTGAGGCTTCTGGAAAAAGTGCTTAAAGCTGCTGACTTTTAAATATTTAACTTGATTTGATGCTGCTTGATTGGTGTTTTTATTGTGGTTTTAGTGTTTGTATGTTTGCTATTGGATATAACTTTTTATTGTGAGCCACCTGGTGGGTCTGTTCCAGACCAAAAGGCAGGACACAAACTGCTACACTACTGTGCAACAGTCCTGGTACCCAAAGGCAAAAAAAAAAAAGTCTAAATCCCACATAATAAATGAAATTCCAGTTGCAAAGTATATTAAAAAGAGCCATTGTGGTGCTGTCGTTAGAATATCATACTAGGCCCTCGGAGGCATGAGACACAACCATGATAATTGAGCCTTAGGCCAATCACCTTGTCTCAACTTAACCAACCTCAAGGGTTTGGAAAGGAGGACAAAACAGAGGATACCTCCCCGAGCTCCTTGGAGGAAGAGAATGGGTGGATGATAAAAACAGACGGCCTCCACCACTAGAGGCGAATCCTGCCAGCTAGTTCAAAGCATTACTTATTTAAAAGAGCTTTACGTCATTACTTTGTTGTTGTTCAGTCGCACAGTCGAGTCCGACTCCTTGCGACCCCATGGACCAGATCACGCCAGGCCTTCCTGTCTTCCGCCGTCCTCTGAAGTTGGCTCAATTTCATGTTCGTTGCATCTATGGTCAAATAAGACTTGCAGAAATATAGATAATATAACCATAACTCTGTTAATTAGTAGTCGTATGAGTGTTCGTGTTCTACTCATTGAAGCCCTATTATCTGTCTCCGGGCTTCACACATGAATTTATGATGCACTTCTGCCCAGTGTCCGAGCAATTAAAGACTCTTCCCGGCTACAATTAACCGTTGACAGCTGTACAACGCCCCCCTTCCCGCGGAGGAGAAACCATTTTTTAAATGGGTCTTATACCACTCTTTTTTACTCTTGCCCTGGCAAGATATTTTCATTGGCCCGATGTCCTGTTTATTATTCTCCTTCAGTGGCTGGCCAATGGGTCTGAAGCGCCCCTAGCAACCTACCCTCTCGTCCCTCCGCCCCTTCGTTGGCTTCAGTCGAGACTGTTGTTGTGCGCGAGTCAAAGCTGGCCTGTG